ATACTATGTATAATGTCAGGTATGTACTATGAATAGTACAGATGAGGTGTTGTGGAGTTAGTTATAGTATGGGCATGTGTGTGTGACATGTGAGGGTGTGGTTCATTTATGAAGTGTGAATAGTACAGATGGGTTGCTGTGGAGTTAGTTATAGTATGGGCATGTGTGTGTGACATGTGAGGGTGTGGTTCATTTATGAACTATGAATAGTACCGATGGGTTCCTGTGTGATTTAGTTAGTTACGGTATGGGCATGTGTGAGTGACATGTGAGGGTGTGGTTCATTTTTGAACTATGAATAGTACAGATGGGTTCCTGTGTGAGTTAGTTATCTACGGTATGGGCATGTGTGTGTGACATGTGAGGGTGTAGTTCATTTATGAACAGTGTATAGTACATATGGGTTGCTGTGGAGTTAGTTACGGTATGGGCATGTGTGTGTGACATGTGAGGGTGTAGTTCATTTATGAACTGTGTCTAGTACAGATGGGTTGCTATGTGAGTTAGTTAGTTTTGATATGGGCATGTGTGAGTGACATGTTAGTGTGTTGAGCGAGGGTGATGTATGTTGGGAGAGGGCGTGACTATCATATCTAAAGGACACTCCACCTGCTGCGCCATTCCGACGAGGGATGAGTCATTCTCAAGAGTGATGAGTACACCCTAGAAAACCCCCAAAACCAAAAAAAAAACACCCTAGCTTCTAGCAATAGACCAGACAATGTACCTACCAGTACATAGTACACGCCAACTTCATATCCCGCGCTGTAGTCAGTTGTTTGGTTCGTTCTCTTTCTGACCTGTTGCCATACTCTCTGTCACAGACGGTGAGACGACGTCCATTGGCATTGACTCGCCCCACAAGTGCCATGCGACGCAAAGCATTGACAGCTGCAGCTACGAAGTGAGTGACTCTTCGAATGAGATGAGCACAAGGCCTGGTATGGACCAGCATAAAGACCCAGCGGCAGCCACATCGTCGAGTATGTGTTAGTCACTGTGACATAGTGTGTGTGTGTGTGTGTTCTTTTTTTTTTTTTAATTGTGTGTGTGTGTGTGGTGTGTGTA